TCAGTTTTATGCATCTTTCGATGGAAACGTCAATATTTATAATTACATTAATTTTTAGTTACTTTTGTTATTGTAAAAACAATTTTACTACACAATAATTTCGCCATGCGACCTTAACTTCAAAACAATTCAAAATATACAATATTTTTGCAAAATATCAAAATGACGCTTAACAAAAAGTACGTCAAAGATATTGTCTAACAATTTAATTGGTTATGGAATTACGTTTTTAAAATCATTTAAACAACATCGTATATGCGAAAAAATTACATTCATGTATCTACAATTAATTTAATTAAATTTTTATGTACTATAGTACTCAAGATTTTTATGCGTTTCGGAAAAGTGTTTGAAACTTTTTAACTTCATCAGTCAAATATTATAGAACTTTCAGTGATTTTTTAACAAAAATATGTTTCTAAATGTTAGGTAAGGAATGCTATATACAGATAAATAATCAAATACTTTCTCTATTACAAGTCAATTTGTATCTTACTTATTATGACTTACTTACTTAGTGGGCCATTACAGACGTGAGTCGACCTTGACCGCGTCGAGTAACCTCCGCTAGCGAGCACGTTTAGTTGCTTACTGTTGCCAGTTAATTGTATCGAGCGCTCTCAAATCGTTGGTCACCTAGTCCTTCCACCGACGATGCGGACGTCCTCTACAGCGTTTTCTACCTGCGGGTACCGAATGAAACACCTTTAAAGCCGGAGCACTTTCTTCCATTCCAGTGTACGACATGAGTACACTATTTTAATGAAAATAATTCACTAAATTTTATGTTTGAAATGGATAGATTGATAAATTGATCAAATACACTATTTTTAGAACTATTTTTAAAAGTGATATATTAAAAACTTTGATTATAGTCATGTCTGAAGCATGGCCCTGAAGATGACTCTAGGCTATAGTTGACATATTAGTGACACTAATATACAATTTTTAAAAATAATTTAAAAATAGTGTATTATTTGAAGAATTTGTCAATTTAACCGTTTCAAAAATATATTTAGTAAATTATTTATAAGCTAAAGTCGAAATATTGGCGAAAATAAGATATGATTTTTAAAAATATATTTAAAAAGTTGTGTTTTATTTGAACAATTGACCAATTAACCCATTTTTAATAATAAAAACTAAAAATTTTTATCTTTAAAATAATCAAAAAAAAAATAATTATTATTAATTTTAAATAAAATCAAAACAGTTTTTGCCTTCATAAATCATGTTTCAAAAATTATATGTTAATTAAAATTATATGTTAAATAAGTTAGTAAAATAGATATTCTTACAGGATAAGGATATAAATAAATAAAAATAATAATGAGATTTTCAAACAGTAGTGAATTACAATAACAAAAATTCTTTTTTATATTATTTTAATTAATTGAAGTTTTGACTGACCATACAGCCAAATAACCGTCATCATTGATCTTGGAAAAATTCTTGTATTTATTTATTCGTAAGTAATTTTTTGAGACTGCAAGTACCAGGAATCGAAATCGTGCCCTGTCAAATTTAAAACTCTGAGTCAGCACACCTTAATCAACTAACTCAAAGCCGTATTTGACTAATTATGTTCGCACATTTTTGTGGAGTTTTGCTACTTTTGCTATGAAAGTTTTTATTAAAAATTTTACTTGCTGTGTTTATATTAGAACGAAATCCTAAACCAGCTGTAGAATAATAATTTCAATTAATTTTAAAAAACCCTAAACAGTTTTTGCCTTCAAAAATCATATTTAAAAACTTATATATTAATAAAAATTATAAGTTAGTAAAGTTGATCTTCTTACTGGATAAGGATATAAATATATAAAAAAAATTATTTTAATTAATTTCAATTTTATTTTAAGTAGACATGGATATGTCACTGGGCAGCATAGTCCATACGCACCTTTCTTTTTTGAGATCGTAATAATTATTATTACGTTTCATATTAATAAATATTACTTATGAATGACAATACCTGACAGATTGTAATAAAAATAAATGTATAAACAAAAAAAACAAAAATTAATTTTAAACAAACCCTAAACAATTTTTGCCTTCATAAATTATATTTCAAAAATTATATGTTTATAAAAAATATATATTAAATAAATGAGTAAAAATGACATCCTTACAGGATATGTTACTGAACTTTATCAAATTAAATAAACAATTATTTGTGCAAATGTCAGTGTACTGAAGGTTATAAAGTAATGAATGCTACGAGTTCAGTACGCTGATTTAACATGATAAATAAAAACGAGCATTCTTGACCCATAACTTAATTGTGATAAATCTGAAAACTCATTTAATATTTACTAAGTCATAAAATAAAAATAAACTGAAATATTTATGAATGTAGATATGGATAATTTATAATGAATTGCAATTATTCATCATGTAAAAATTCATTTTACAATGTAATATAAATAATAAAAATTGCTAAGAAACAATTAAAATTGTTTTTCTTATTTTTATACTTATATTTATATTTATATTTAATTATATTTAAAAAAAACAACCAGACTATTGTAACAAACTCACTCAACTGATTAATTTGTTTCATTTGAATTGAATTATTTACAAAAATTTTTATAATAATAATATAATTAAAATTCTTTGTCATACTATATCTAACGTATTTTTCCTAACATATTAATTTACTTGACTAGCAAAAAGCCGTTACCGCTTTAATTAATACAAATATCCATCCCGTTTTGACATATTTTTTATTTGTTAACACACCTACTATATTATGAAATTCTACTGATCAATAATAAATTTTCTAGACGTAAAATTAAGATACTTAAGTCAATTGGAAAAATACTCAATCACTCAATTCAAGCGATCAGTTATTGTTATTGTTTTTTTCCTATACCCAAACTTCCATTTACTGCATTCTCTATAAATTTTACTTACATATTCCACACTGCCGATGCACATGAAATGATCATCTGAGATGTTAACAATAAATTACTCATCGCCACATGATCATGATTATGATCTTTGAAATGATTATTAGCAACATCAAACACATCGCACTCACTTGCTTACTAATAAAATGCATCCCAGCCTCAACATGTGTTACGAATTTAAATGCAATTGACAGACAAAATAACCGGCAAATTTGTTTAACTAAAAAAAAATTAAAAAAAAATGAAATAAAACTGAAAAAATAAACAGAATTATGCAGAGAGATAAGCAACAAGTGTCTTCAATTCTCTTCACGGTTCTTTTTAAGGGAACAAGTTAAGAGAAATTCAAAGTATCTCAAAATGTATGATAATTAAATTGTATCGCAACAAACGGAAGTTTATTCAAGATACATCGACTTTATTAAATTTAAGATACTAAACACATTCGATAATCCATTTATTAAATTGTATCCAAACAGAATGAAAGTTAACTGAATATACATAGATACATTATTGCATCTAAGGCACTAAAAACAAAATATATATTAGTTCGATAATAGAAATATATCAAATATATAACATATATCAAGCATTTAACATATATCATGAATTAAAATTAAAAATTAAGATAATTTGATTCTATTAACTTACATACAATAAAGTGTACCAGTATCTTAAACGAATGTTACAAATCACAAATTCCGGATATTTTTTATACAGCATATATTTCTATTACCTCAAATATTTTCTTTCTTGTGCTTCAAATATATCGATTATTATTATTGTTAGGAAATGTGACACTGCGACCGTCGAGTCTATTGTGCCTCTTTCTATATTTAGAGTAAGTCTCTAAGCCCTGTTGTGTCAATAAAAAGTAGTATAGAACCTACTTTACAGAGTTTTATTTCCTCTTTCGTAAGAATATAAATT